CCTCACGTGTGAGGGGATGCCAACCTCCATCATTCCTTCTTGCTTTGCCTCTCTCTTCTCCTTTCATCCAGTGAAATACTGCATGCTGCGAGTCCCTCAGAAAGTGGGTATTTAATGTCCTTGGATCATGATCTGCAGCGGCACAACAGCAGAAACATCCAGCAAAACTGAAGTGAAGGTAACTTGAAGAAAGAACTGCTTGTAGCTACCAGAGCTGAAGCTCTACCATGTTCAAGGTGCATCTGAACAGCGTAATCGTGCAGAGAACACCACGCGTGAAGGACATATTCCCTTCAAGCAGAGTTTTGCTCCAGATAGTAACCTAGCTGTAAAACATCAGTACAAACGGAAATTTTTGACTGATTTCATCAGTTATTCTAGATTAAACTGGAAATTTCTGTAAAATAACCTCAGAATGTTTCTTGATTGGTCAACAGCAGAAATTATACTCTACCCGGTCTCTTAGTGTTTGCCTGTAAACACCAATATGAAGTATGAAAAAATGAAATAGAGAAAGTTTCCTTCACACTTGAAAGCATTAGAACCATCATATTTTGTAACACCACTATTTCAATAAAACTATCAAACGTAGCACAACTAGTAAGCTATATTATTAGCACCTTTCAACATTTCTTAAAGGTTTGTCAATAAAGAGCTCAGAATTAACTCAAGTCTAAAATACAGCTAATTTTCACCCCCAAATTTGCAATTTCTACTTTAGGATGCCAGCCACAAAGTCATAAGCTGAAGCCCAAACCTTGCATGTTGCCCCACGTCAGCCACGTCCACAGTGTCACCAGGACGGTTCTGCTTCCACGTGTCTGGCTGTGGGGACAAGGAAGCAAATGAAAGTGTTCATGGAACCTGCTTGCAGGCTCAGGGCTTTATTAGTGCTGACCAAGCAAAACGCTGTCAAAAAATGCGGAGGAAATCCTAAAATGAGTTGAATCAGTTACAAAAACATTCATTAAAATGAGAATACCCTTTGCTACTCCTTTTAAGGAGTTTTCTTCAGGAGACTAATCTATTTTTTTGTGTCACATTCAGCACACAGACATTTCAGACAGATTTCAGAGGAATTTGTATATAATATGCTATACTGCTATAAGGAATTTGTCAAGTAAACCTGCTACAGTTAATGGTATTTTAGTCTTTATGCACATTAAGCACAAACCTACACTGTATGGGTTTGGTAACAGTAACTGACATTATTTGAATTCCGGGTATCTATTTCCTTCCAAACCAGATGCCTATGTTGTAGAAATATAATATGCCATGTGGCTGAGCTGAGATAATCTGGTGAGACTCAAAACACAGTGTCATCTGCACAAAGTTGGGGTAAAAATCTGCTCACCTAAATACCTGTTCATCCTGCTTATAACACTTATTCTGAAAAGCTCAGTGAATAGTAGATAAAATAAGTATCTAATGCGCTTTGACAGAAACTCTGATGGAGCTGAACACCAGAGATCTACATTCTAATAAATAAATGAAGTAGAGCATTTACTGCCAGCAACTATGTCAAGTTAACGATAGGAAACTGTAGCTCTGCAGCTGGAGAAGTGCAATATTCTGCAAGCCAGAGGAGCAATGGAACTCGTCCAGCTTTGATTATTTATGGTGTGATGATGAAGAAACAACTTTCCACATGAGGAACAGCTTTAAAGTTGAACAGGGAAGCTAAAACAGAGGTTTAATGAAAAATCAGAAGGGAAGAAACCTAGAGCTACAAAAACAATAACATTCGTTTCAACAATTTAAACATATTATTTATGTGCAAACCCAGATGTTAACTTGTCCAATTTTAAGGTAAACAGCAAACTGTATTCATGACAACCATTTGCTGAACAGCAAACATGCACTATGAAATGTTGCTTACTTCATTCCTCAAAATGTTATCAAAATGAACACAAACTCAAAGCAAACACACATTAAACAAAGGATACATCTGTATCTAAGGCCAAGGTATTTTAAAAAAATTCCAACCTTGAATAATCTGCTGCAATCGTAATAACCTGAAATGTAAGACTGTTTTCAGGCTTGATAAAAAAAAGATATCTAATTTTAAATATTTATGAGAGTACTGAGAAGTCGCTTGGCACTATGCTTTAAAACAGGCTGCCGGGTTTCAAAGTGCTGAAGGCTGAGACCCCTTTTGGGGGTCTGTTTGGCCTGCATTAGGACAAGGATGCCAAGCTCAAAAACACGGTGCAGAAAAATAACTGCATGTGAACATTTCCAGTTAAATAAGCAACAACCCTTCATTCCAATCCTCACCGCCTCATCTTTGCAACTCCCTTTTCTTACATGTTATAATATCTTACTTGATAAACACCCCCAAGCAACTCATTTACACCACTGGCTCTTGATTCATCAGTATTCTGAGCAAATACTGTTTGATAAGATTTTTGAAGGATACTCTGGCATCATGTGGGCCATTCTTGAACATAAGGACACATTGAGAGACTGATAATTTTGCAGAAAAAGTGACTTAAAGTGTGTTGCAAACAAAAAAAGGTTTGATCACATCCAAGTTTTTGCCTGATGTTAAAATGTGTGCTTCAGGCCAGGAATGAGCTATCTTTCAAAATATTTTAGCTATGTGAAGAAGGGACTATTCGCAAATTTTTTTTTTTTTTGGGGAAAACATCAAGTTAGCTGATTTTGAAAGTTAAAAGATTAGACTGGCAGGGGAGAAGAAAGGCTTCTAAATGTAAATACACTCCACTAAGTTAAATACAGCCTCAGTTTGATACGAAACATTGACTGTAAGATTAGCTCTTCCTTTCCGAATGTTCCACATATTCTACTCCATTTACCTGATGAGGAAAAGGGAATATGAGTAAATTACTGTTATTAAGGATGGATGTGCCATAGAAAAGAACAAGAATAAACAGTATGTTTAAAGTAGTTCAACATGTGAAAATAATACACTACAGCAATAAAACAACCACAGTTGTTTTTTTTTTAGAGCAACAGATACTAAGGAGGAAGCTGTGAAAATCCACAGGGATCTTCCACCTTATCAAACACCTGCACAGTTTGATGAGAAATTTCCTTGTGTCTTTTATTTTACTTGGCTCCAGCACAACACCAGGCAAAGCACCATTAAAACAAGAAATGTCATTTGAATGAGACTACTTGCTTAGAGGTGCATTTACTATTTAAAAACACACACAAAATACTGCAACAGTTTCTGGAACCCCATTCTTTTGACCCAATTTTTGATGCCTCCTTTCATGTTTTCATCTTTTTTTTTTTTTTCCTTTTTGTAAAGTACCACATGTCCACCCTGGACATTCTGAGAATGACTCTTTCATCACTGCAATCCCTACATACAGTTTGACCACAAAAAGAAATAAGCAAAGTCATGATGTAGAAACAACTGGTGTGTTTTTCAGTTTGTCATCTAACATGCTCTCATTTCTCCCAAATGACACAGTGACTTCCTACACTGTCTCCATTTATTGCTCCCAAAATAATTCAGACATACATTAGGCTTTAAGTAAGAATAGCTTAAATACAAATTTTAGACTGGTTTCAATGGCTTCATTGAACTTTTAATTAAAACTGAGTTCCAGAACTTTATCTCATTGCCACAATCTGAAAAACATTTACAAATGGCAAGACTATCAACACTAGAAACTGTGATACAGCAGTGCAAGCTTCTACCTTGCCATATATATTCTTTTCTAATAAAAACTCAAGATTTCAAAGAATTCTTGATAACTTGATAGGAATTCCTTAGTATTCATCAGTAGTTCTCTTCTGCTGTTTTGTAGTGTCTCAGCATGAAACCGTGCTTCAGTTTTCAACAAACAAAACCCTGGGGTACACAAACCAGTTTTGTCCTTGAAGTCAGGTCTGACTTTACCCCCTGGAGATGGGCTGGAATGGTCATTTATCAGGTCTGCTCCGTGCTGGCGGGTTCCTGCATCACAGGCTACCATGGGCTTGTACCCTAGTAAAACAGCTGTTATTATTTGCTCCTATGCTTAAGATGATGGATGTCTGTTGTAAAACTGAGGTGCTGCATGTGATTCCTGCAGTAAAGCTGGCAAAAAGAGAAAAAAACATCACCTATACCAAATATTTAGAGGTAGAGGGACGATTTCTCTTTTTAAAGCCAGAGCCTGGGCAAACTGCACAGGTACATGAGATACACAAGCAGAATGCTAAAGGCACTGGCAGCAGTAGTGCCAATATGCTTGCAGCTCACTGGGAATCATAGAATCATAGAATGCTTAAGGTTGGAAGGGACCTCTGGAGGCATGCAATCTATTGCAAAATGTCAAATTTCCTAGAAGAAAATCCAGATTTCCATTTTAAAAAATATCTTTTCTTTTTCATAAAACAGTCAAGCTTTGGGAGTTCCATCCTCACAGGCACAACTAATTTATGTCTTGATGCCAAAGCAGGCTAGAGGCAAAAAAGGAAGACACATGTGAATTCCTTTCAGCTTTTAAAAAATCTAAAGATCTCTGCTATTATCAGGGCAGAACATAACACCTGAAAGGCTGGCCAACAACAAACCTGTAGGCAGCAAAGAGGGCTGACAATGAAACCAAGAAAATAAGGTTTAAAAGCTCTGAAACTATAAAACTCTGAGCATAGGGTTGTACACACATTCAAATCACCTAGAGAACTGCTTGCAAATACACAGTCACTACAGAATTTCAAAGGAGATCAAGATTAGTTCATGTAACCTGATTCATTTTTGTATGGACAATATAATGTATGTCGAGTATCTCTTTCCTTGATCTTAACCATTCACATTGCTTATTTGCTGCTAACTTCCTAATGCATAAAAATTAAGCATGTTTTATAACAGGTTTGTATGTACTCATCTGGAAAGGCCATACATTTTCTATTTAACAAAATAAAGGTGAGCAAATATTGAAAATGATAATCAAAAGAAAACAATCAAACAAAAAAACCCTCTCAAGTGATACTTTTCTTGAGTGAGTTTCGCAACACAGCAAAAGCACGCAATAATTTGGGAATGTAGTTCATATTTTTCATAGCATTGCAAAATTCAGCTTTAATATTCACTGCTATTAGAAAGGTCAATTATTCCTTGTTTTGAGAACAAATTAAAAATTGTCCATAAAACAGAAGGGTCTTCACAGTTATGATGATTCTGCCAATGACTACAAAGATCATCTTTTCTTCCAAACAACTGCTTACACAAAATGCAGTTATATCCAGCCTTAGACCAAATTTCAATTTTTTTGCTTGGTGTACCACAATCTAAATTTTGCATCTCCTTGGCTGCTTCACTGTGTTCTGGCTCAGTTATTTCACTTTTAGATAACACATCAGCTTTATTCTGATGGTGAGCATATATTTGCCTTTTCAATTTTGGAAAACTATAAAACTCCTCCTCTTGAGCACTGGATTTTGCTAAACATCTTCTCTCATTGTGCTGTTTCCAGAAGTGAGCTGCATGTTTGACCAATTCCCCTTTAGTTCCTCTATTTCCTTGCAAAATCCCTTCCTTTACTCTTCCTTGGATCTCTTCTCCGTGACAGTACAATAAATGAAACTTCATTTCAGCAAAAGACTGTGCAATAAATTGGCATCGACCACATTTTATCTGTAATTTGACTTCTCCGGAATTATGGAAAAGGTCTTCAAAATTGCACTTATCTCCTCTGTTTAAAAAAAAGAAAGAATACTTTTGAGACCAGATGGCTTTTCATCATTTTTAATTAAAAAACAAACGCTGTCCAGTCAATATCTAATTTATAAGAGCAGATAAATTAAGTGAAATAAAATAATATTAAGTTTCGTTAGGAAACAATGAAACCAACTGTGCCAATATTTCAACAATTTTTTTTTTAATTCCCTCCAAAAATACTCTTTGTAAAAGCTTTTAGTAACATTAACCTTTTATTAAAAGCTTTAAAACATTTTAAGTTCTTTGAGGTCAATTCAAATGCTTCTGCCTCTGTGCTAGAAAAGCAACAGTGACTCGTACCAGTCACTACTCATTTATCCATTTCCACCCATTGATCCAAAGGCTTCTGAAATGGAAATCGGTCCCACCTCCCACTCCAAGACAGCAACAATGAATCTTCAAAGTTTCTACTTTTTCTAAACGTCACTAACATAGTAAAAATAAGAAAAAAAATATGTACAATTAACAACTGCACAGCCTGTCTTCCTTGGTTCACACCAAGTCTGCATTATAAAGGACATATTTATATAAAGCTAACACATCGCTCGGTTAAGCTAAGGCAATCCAAGGGACTTTACAGAGTACCTTCTCATAACGTCTAGAAAAAGGTCACATATTAGTGTTTACTAGAGATTAGAAAGACAAAATGGTAAGCCTAAAATAAAAGCATCAGGATGTTTTTAACTTAAATATCTTTAATATTTCTGAGTGTGCTCCAGTAAATGGAATTATGCGAGCAAACTGTATAAAACTGAGATTTTGAGTTTTATCGAGCTTAATAAAGCACTTTTCAATGAAAACAGATGCACAGCTAAGTAAAAAAAAAAAATCCCTTTCTACTATCACACCATTTCTACTGGGTGAAGAAAATTTGCCTTAAAATCCTACTGAAGAGATGAAAGTCCTATCCATCACTGTGGTAGCTATTAGCTTTTTTTACTTGGCTAAGTGATGGCAAAAAGAAGCGGCAATCAATGTAGATTGGCTCACAGCACTTCAGAGAAGGAAATGGGATAATGATATTTAATAGAGAAAACAAACTACAAGCTAACACTGAAATACAAATTGCTTTTCACTTATGGCATTTGGTTCACTTGTCTTCTAGAGAAAAACACTGTAAAAATCACAGTTCAGGTTAATAGAGAAAATATTAGCCACTAGAAATCAACTAGTAAAAATATATACCCAAAGTGCCAGTGACCGTACGTCAGCTGAAACACATTGGATGTTCTAGTGGATTGCCCACCTGTTCTAAAAAAATATGGGAATCATTAGGAATGCCACTTGGGAAAAAAACAGCTGAGAAAACAAAATAAATGAATAGTTTTCACAATGGTGACATTTATTAATTTCTACTGACAGTGTGTTTCTTATTCTCTGTATTTCTGCTGAAATCCTAGTTTTATGAAGATCTAACCAGTGGAAACACTCACCTCTCTGTTGCTTCTTCTGGCTCTTTCGTATTCGTATCTCTGTTCTTTAAAGCATCCTGCAGCTGTTGCTCGCTAGTAGAGGGCTCTGTGCTGATAACAACTCTGTGAACCTCCTTTAGATGGCCAAAATATACTTTTGCATGGCCAAAAACTTTAGCACAGAACTCGCAACACACCAGCTTTTTGCCTCTGCCTTCCTTGTGATGAACTTTTATGTGTTTGCTCAGGCTTCCAGAATGAATATACGCTTTCCGGCAAAACCAACAATTGTAGGGCCTTTTGTTGGTATGTGTGTTCATATGGTCCTGAAGATGGTGTTTAAATTTGAAGCTATGGTTACAGACATGACATTTATGCCATAGCTTAGGTTTGGTTGAATATACATTTCTATTTAAGTCACTTGATTTGGCAGAGGGGGCATCATTATGTTTGTAATTTAAATATTTATTGGGAAGTGAGCTATTTAAAATAGGACCTGGCTCTAAATGATCAGGAAATTTTGTCCCCACTATTGCTGCAGGAGTCAGCGGTGCAAAAGCCTGAACTACCACCACAGGCTTCGGTCTAATATTACGGTATTTTTTCACTGCTTCTGTTTTTTTGTCTTGAGGTTGTTGAAGATCAACTTTCATCCTTTCTCTTCCTTCTCTGAACTTGCATTTCCTTCGCTTGGACTGAAAAGCCAACAAGTCATCGGGGGTTCTTCTTTTTCTGCCTCTTCTTTTAGAGGACAGAACATTCATTTTTTTAAGATTGTCAACATCCACTTTATTGGATGGACATAAGCTATTTTCTCGAATGGTTTGCCAGGGAACTTGTGTAAAAGATACAGCTAATCGTTTATCAGATGTCTTAGTAGGAGCATGAAGGGTTTTCATCAAAGATGGTGTCTTTTCACAATCAGATCTTAGCGAAGGACCAGATACATCTATAGCATCAGCATTTTGCTTAGATTTAGAAAATATTGTATTTTTCACTCTTGAGTAAGGCAGAATTGGAAGCTTTCCTTTTGGTGCAGATGGAGTTAGCTGTACTGCACTGCCAGAAACTGCTGGTGACAATATCCTGACAGAATTTGCAGAATTCATGTTTTTTTCTTTTAGTTTCTTGGACAAGATGAGTGGATTTTTTGTGTTTTCAAACGCTAACTTCACAGAGTCCTTTATGAGATTACCGGTACTTGCTGGCTTGGTTGAAGATTCCTTACTTCCAGATGGTCCAGAAACATTACCGTTAGTAACGTGTGCTTTGTTTAGTAAAGGAGCCCCCAAATCCACACCATGACTTTCATTCAGTAGTGCAGCAACTGCAATTCCAGCTGAACCATGGTCCGTTGACATCCCTTGCTCAGACGAATCTGAACTGCTATGAGCTTCAGGATAGTCTTCAGCTACCGCAGTCACGGGGGAGGCCTGTGATGAGACGTGGGCTTTGGTACCAATCTTGTCAGGCGCAGCCAGAGCAGAGATTTGAGTTGTTTTCTTCTCACTCAGCATTTTATTTCTCACAGACTGGTACCTAGGGATAGGCAGCTTGGGATTTTCAGAAGGGCTCCTCTTGGACTGCTGCATTTGCTGTGTTACTGCCGGGGTAACATAAGGCAAAGCCAGAACAGAAAAAGTTCCCTCGTGAGCAGCAACCTGCATCACTGCATAGTTTTGTGTAGGCACTACCAGTGGTTTGGAACCTGCAGCCGAAACAGGTGTATTTTGTTCAGGCAAAGGTGACTGGAGACAAGAAACCACTCCAGGTGTTAAAACTTTCGATACCATTTTTGGAGCGATTGTCCTAAATTGGCTTTTCTTCTGACAACTTTGTATGATATCAGAAGGGGATTTGTGTTCATCTGTAACAATAAAATACACACAGACATGTAATACAATGTAATGTAATACAGACATGTAATAACAAGAAGACTATCACACACAAACCTGCCATAAAAATATGGGTATTAAAACACCACTAAATTAGCCTTAAAATTGCAAGCCTCACACAGACAGAACAAAAAAACCTCCTGAACCCTGAAGCAATATGCTTAAATATACATACGCAAATAACAGTTTCTTAAGCTAATTTTAAATGGGTATTTCTATCTATCTAGGTTATACACTCCACAACATTTCAGAACATATACACCTTCAATCACTTCTGCCTTGAGAAATCTGTCCCAGCGCACTGTCAATATTCAGTTGGAAGAACCAGCATGATTTAAACTTTTCATGCTGCAGAAGTTTTCTAAGCATCTGCTCTGACCATATTTTTCTATCAGAGTCAATGTATTTTGCAGAACATTTCTATAACACGATTTGCACTTTTTATTAGATACAGACTAAAGCTTACCTGATGGAGTCTTTAAAAAATTATTGCCATAAAGTATGCAAACTTGTAATAAAATCAGAGAGAACTTGAGAGAAGAACCACTATTAAAAAGAAAAAATAATCATACACATTGCTGTATTTCAGTGTCAAGTGTTCTGATTGCATAAGTTATTACAACAATAGTTTTAAAGTCACTCTTTTCTTGAAAGACAATTTACGTAAGATACAGCACATTTTTTGCTGTTTCTACTTCTGTTGCTAAATATTAAAAATATTTTTAATAACGAAGGAAAATGTGATGATAATTAAAGAAAAAATGATAAAACATATTAAATATAACCTCCAACATGTGGCAGAGATATATGCTGCCCTTTCGCATACATAAAAAAACTGATACATGGTTGAATTTCATATATGGCACAACAGCCTGATTATATGTTATGTAAGCATTAGATGAAGCTTCACAGTTCAAGTTCTCAAAATTACCTTTTTTCCCCCCCCAAAATATCTGCCTCTATCACTGCAAATTCATAATCACATAGATTTCAGCCAGGCAGACAATTTGAAGAGGTCACACCATATTTATGAAAAAAAAAATCACTTTAAAGAATTATATTTGAATGGAATATCTAAAAATAAATACTGGAACCCCCAAATATTGAGAAGAAGTAATTGAATAGAGATTTCTGTTCCTTATCATTTAAGAGCCCTGTTTTACAAATGCGTCTTTCTTCTTTTTAACAGAGCTAAAACTGTGAGTTACCACCAACACTACAAACTCAAACAGCTTTATCCTGCTACTGGATGTTCCTCACGGACACTGTGCACTTTGCCAAGTGCCCTGTAAGCCACAGACCCTTTTGTGATGACAGGTCCCTGACAGGCCCATGTGTGTGCGGCTCATACTCACACGTGCAACAAAGTCACTGCTTCTGGGCCACACCTGAGCAGCACAACCTCTGCACTGAGACATGACAGGTCTGATGCATCTCAATGACCTGCTGGATGTGGCTTGAGGAGCATAATCCAGCATAAACTTCTGATTCTCTTGTTACTATCTGGAGCATCAACCTCGATGATGCATCTTCTCGATTCCCCCCAGTTAAATGAAATTACTGGGTACCAAATATACTTGGGGTCTGCTCAATCCTCTAGAGTTGCCCAAATCTCCAGTTATCCTATGAGGATCAGACTATGGTGCCTTTGGAAATCCTACACAAACACAAATACTCTTATAAATAGGGACAAAACCAAGCGTAGAATGTTTGGACAAAACTGGAAAAAGAAGAAGTGTAGCAGCTTTAAAATTCTATTATTTCTTCTCACTACAGCCATTTTCGTTCTAGGAAAGCTAGGACTATACCGTATTTTTCGCTAATAATGACTATTTTGCTAATCTTGAAACATTACAAAAAATATTTTTTTCAACTGCTAAGACTTCTGATAATACCCACATTTTCTGTTTCCTGTGCAGTATCTGCTTATTACTACTTTAAAGGTAAAACTTCAAGAGTTGCTGAGAAAAAGTATACCATAGTGAAATAGATTAACACAGTCATTAACCAAACCAGACCCTGAACTTCAAAGCAAACCACAGGTCAAACTGTACAGCTTAAACACAGTAGACTGCATAGATATATTTTGGTTTTAGAGATACTTTACAGATTATCTTTGCCATATACGGATGTTAAAGACTTCTTCCAAACCAGCATTTAGTCAGTCTGTCACAATATTCAGCATGAACTCCCTCTTCATGTTTGACTTGCATCTCTTTTTTTTTATCTCGAAATCTCATTCAAGGATGTGCACGAACTCACTTGGAAAAACAGTATTTCAGAAGTCTGCTATCTGTGTTTCTTTATACTCCAAGTTTCAGGCACCCACTCTCCACCCAAATGCATTCACAGATTCCGTCACCTCCTCAACTTCCATCTCTTCCACAGAAATCCCAAAACGACAGTTGAAGCACCACCAAGGAACAGTTCAAGGTTAGGAGGAAACATCTGTACAAATACCGCCTTACACTAGCTTTAAAAATGCACATACGTTTCTCAAATTCAGGAAACTGCCACTGCAAATTTAGGCACTAAAGTCACTTTTATTTAAAGAAAATCTCTCTACATAATTCCTGAGTATTCCACAAGAAATTATCATTTTAGTAGCTAAGATCCTCAAGAGCACAGAACACAAAATGCTCCTTGAAACCAAGTCGTTTTAAATGAACGTTCTTCTTAGGCAGTTATTATAATGCTAAGCATTGATATAGCCGTTTGAGAAGGGATTTTTATACAAATGCTCTATTTTTCACGTTTGTAATTTTACCATAAACACTTCTTCCAGGCAAGCCATGTTTGGTCTCAGGCTTGAGTTTTGAGGGGTTTTTTGCCAAGTTTACATTAGACAGTTTAGTGAAGGAATATTCCCCGCCGTGCCTCTGGTATGCAAAGGCCACTCGGCTCCGTTTCGCTCTCATCCAGCGCAGCTGCTGGCAGTAAGCAGCTTAGCCAGGGTCTAAATATAGAGATGGGCTAGATGCAGACGAGCTGCCTGAGGATCTTGCAGACCCACTAAGATTTTGATTGCGGAATGGGAAAGCTAATTGGAGAATGCGATAGTAGATTATTTACCTTTCTGGATCAGGAAAAACAGCCAATAGACTCAGTTTTGAGGTCCTACTGGCCCCTACACAGAATATTCAACGATCATCTGTGACCAAGAATATTTCTTCTATTTACACTTGGCTAAGAATTTCCTTCGGACATTAGAATAATTCATGTTTTTCTCACCTTGACACTGGAGAACTTGAATGGGCTCTGGCACTGCACCAGAAGGACTAACGGAAACTTAATATACATTTTTCCAGCACGTTTCACTTGTATTCTGCTCCACCTTTCAAATTGTTCCTGTCCCCGATTCAAAGGGACATGTGCAACCACGTGAAAATTTTGAAAGCTAAGAGGGTGTTTTTCACTCAAGGCACTGCAATGGCCATTCCTGAGGACGGCCCTGGGGTTTAGGCCACATTCCTTCTAGAGGCCATAGTCTACCTTACTGGAAAGCAACAATTCTTAAGAGCTTCTCCCAAACTCTCATCAATAATAAAGAAAAGGAGAGAACTCATTAATCTCTGAATGGTATAAAGCTCACTTTTAACTGACGATTTTATTATTTTAAACATGCATGCAATTGGGGCAATAAGTAGACACTTCTATTTAAGCACAAGGTTAAAGCAAATACTGCTTAACTCACTGCTTAACCCATTTACTTCAAAAGTGTCTATTAAAAGATTATCCATTACCACACTGCTATAGGGAAGTGTCAGCAGTCTGATATTTCAGTATGCAAGCTTTCCACAACTCTAAGTTACCTTAAAATTGTACAGGACTGGCCAATGATACACCAATAAAAATCAAAGTTCCTGTGAAGCCACGAGATGGTCATGTTGGAAAGAGTCCTCTGGAGGACACAGTGTCTTTCCCAGGACTTCTCTTAACCCACAGTTCCCTTTGCTGCATGAGATCCACTCTAGCCCAGTCTACCCTGTTCTGTCTCTTTCTGAACCTCTCCCTTTATGTAGCCCATGCATTACCGTTGAACTTGGATACTGCAGAAAGTGTGTGAAAAGACACCACTTTCCCCACTAATACAACCTATTTCCAACGTGAAGGAAAATCATGACACCAGAAAACAGTGTGGACCATTGTTAAACTTTTAATAAACTGTGTAAAGCCATCTCACTTTTCCATGTTTATACTGTTGAGTCATTTGCTGAATTGAAACGGAAAAAAAGTTTTCTGTATATGAAAGAGCGTGTAACTATTCTCTGAAAGACAATTCTAGATGAATTCAGTCAATGTGAGTTAATGGTTACCTTCTGCCAACCCCCCATACACACTAAATACCTGTGGATATTGTCTTTCCAGCACAAGTTTCTTGCTTTTGCTGACCCAGCATACTGTGTTGCACACACTGTTTCTCTGCAGGATTAGCATGCAAAAAACCACCACCTGCAAAAGTGCTTCAGTCAGTTATAAATAGCAACCAGGAGAAAAAACAAACAAAAAAACTAACAAAAAGACAATATAAAACATTACTTTCCAGCTAATGCATTAAAAAGGCTAATGCTTCTTGTTCTTTGCCACTTTTCTCTGCTCAAAAAAAAAAAATCTAATATATTATATGCCAAATACGGGGCGATAGTTTAAAAAAAAAGAATAAAGCTGGTTAATGCCATAAACAGATGGGATGCTTCAGCTTCACTATCATGGCAGACAGTCAACAGCAACAAAACAAAAAACTCACAGAAGAATGAAGTTTCAGTAGCTTTAAAAAAACGTTTCAAATACAGAAGCTAAATTCTAGGCTGATTTGCACTTGCCCTAATCCCACTTAAATCAACAGAACTGAAGACATTAAACCAAACAGAATTTGTCTTTCTCTGCTCAAAACTAGTTTTGCTGCACATCTCTAAAGTGAGATTGGTAGTAACATTCAAAAATTAGGATTGTCCCAAATCATACATTCTAA